CTTAAAATTCTAAAGATTGTGTTAAAAGGAGTGTAAGAAAGTGCATAGATCTGTATCATTTTTCATATGTTTTTGTCATGGACAATTAACATGGAATCAGCATGACAAAAGTCTCATATTACAATTAAATGTAAAGTTTTTTTTCTTTATATGAATACATACATGTCTATTAAATGTTTTATAATAAATAATGTACTGTTTTTTTTAAAGCGAGTTGTAAAATATATGTATGAATATTCATGAAGACTATTAATTTTTAATTTGAATTGCAGGTCAATCAAATCTTCATGAAAATTCATGAATGTTCATTCCCATGAACTTCTGGTGAGTTTTACTCGTATGACGACTCCGATTTACCAATATTCATATAAATTCATCATTTGTTCATGAACTTCATTTTATGAATATATTCATGAATAAAATTCATGAACTGTCCCTATGAATCAGTCATGAACCAGTCATGAATATTTCATGAAGTTTCATGAACGCTTCATAAAAGTTCTTCAAATCATGATTTTCACCTCGCAGGGGGAGTAGCTCGCTTTGTAAGATGTACACAGTACGTCTACACTCGTCGGATCTCTACAGTGAAATACATTGGCCTGATTAGCGATCTGCTCCTTATATACGGTTTGTAGGGATAGAGTTGAAGAACGGGAAATATGGCGGACTGTGCCTATTTACGAGTAGTTTTCAGCTTCAATATTTGTTTGGCACAAATCGAGCATTAAACATCGGAAGAAGCTTCGATCTCGATGCAACAATGGATTTTATTTCGATTTGTTCAGGTAACTCGAAGAAATTAAATACTTCTTTATATAGATTATCTGATCTATGTTTAAAGCAATATGAGCTGCATTTTTGAGAATTTTATTTTGCTGGTAAAATATGTTATTATGATTTGTCTCTATGTAATCTAAAATCTTAAGATCAATAAGACAAAAATAAAGTTTAAAAATGTTTCAGAAGAAATATTTCTGTACAACCGAAAATACATGTACTAGATAAGAAATTATTACGGTACAGGACGATAATAATTCAATTTTGCTCTAATCAAAGCTTATAAAAAGTTCTTCCATGGCAAATATTGATAACAGAAGTTTATAAATGTTCCAATTTTTGTCATTGAAATAGTTAATTCAAATTTGCAATTTTTCCCCCTGTCAAACATACAGCTCATATTGCTTTAAGCAGTTTAATGTTCGCCGTTCAGTAGACAGTGGTGTGACAATTCTAAGCCTAAAATACGGAAAAAAGACAGTCCGTATTGAAATAAAAGAAGCAAAAACTTTTGCGATTGCTTGTAATTGCCATTAATAAAGTTAACATACAATTAACAAAAGATTGTTGTAAATTCTTTGAAAGTTCAAAGTTACGTAAAGAATAAATATCCAGCTTTTATGTGTACACTTTTGTCAATGATCACCTTTGTCCGTCACGGAATCTTTTTAATTAGAAACATTAGGAGATAAATAAAAATCAATAAAAATGACTAACAAATGAGTAAACTTATTGTCCTTGAAAAGTGTGTATTCTTACGATCCTATATATCTGAAATAACAAAACTCTAGGAAAGGAATTCGATTAAAAATTGACATATGACAATGTTTACAGTCGATGAAAAGTTCAGTAAGTGTAGTAGCCTTCAAAAGTCTGTATTTACAATAAACATATTATCTGAAAAAAAAGATCAAAATTCCCAAGTCTTCAAATCAAGGTCAGTCAAATAGTAAAAATCTTAAATCTTCCTGTTGTTGTTTTTGTTTTCTCGTTTTGTTGAGCCGTTGGTTTGAGTACACTATAGTGCATAGAGAGTGATCTTTCGGATGTTGCAAAGTGTCTGGTCTAAGTAGATTTTAGCACTACAAAAACATCACTAGTAAATAGCCCTCAGTGATGCAGTCTTCCATCAGCAGGTGATGGCGTTTCTATTTGCAAATTAAAATATTTTCAAAAGGGGCATTTTACAATTAACAAACAAACCTTTGACTTTAAATTATTCTTTTCGCAGCATGTATTTCTTAATTTATAATTAAGTATTTTTTTTTCAGAATAAAGTATTTTAAAAAGTATATGAACAAGAGCGTGTTTGAAATTTGAACAGTGGTGATAGTTTTTAATAAAACAGAATCGGAAGAAATTTAGAAACATGCCTTTTTCCCGCTGACATTCGCCAGATTTTAAATAAAAAGGAAACTCACCTTTTCAAGAAAGAAATTCTATTCAAAAACCACCAACAAACACTTAAATATACAATTTTTATAACCGAACTTAAGCTTTCATCAGTTTATGTAAGTAATGGTTATAAGCCGAAAACTGTCTATTATGTCAGATATTAGACGACCCGAGGCGCGTTAGCGCCGAGGACAGTCTAATATCTGACATAATGGTCAGTTTTCGGCTTATAACTTACTTAAAACATTTCACCACTATCGAACACTTCCATTGTTAACTTATTGGACAGCCACAGGTAAGGTCTCGTTCTGCTTGGATGACTACCTGGCACTGTACATCAAGTTAGGCCAAAGAAAACCAGTTTTGATTTTTCTTCTGTCTTTATTTATACATGTAGTAGGAATCATCGAAAGGTGTTTTATAACAATAAATATAAACATTAACTTTGTTTAGTCTTATTTATCTGCATTGCGCCATTTTTCATACATACTACGCATGCGTAAAAGTCAGTTCTACTAAATGCTTTACAATTTATTCATTTTACAACGCGACGACCACGGATGACGACGTAAATTTTAATTTTAAAAAAAAGACCTTCAAAATCTGGTGTTTTGACGATGCCATTTGTCGATTACACCAAGATGCCTCCTCAGTTCAAGTTTTCTACTGTGAAATCCGGATATATATTCTTATGTTTCGGAATTTGCAAGAAACAGTTTCCCGTGAACAGGTAATTTTTGTAAAGTAATAGGATTTGAAGGATATTACTCCAACTACTGTTTCAGCATTTTCTATGAAATTGGGAGATTATTTCTGATGATTTTTTTAATGCAACACTCTGTCTTTTGTGTGCAGGTTTTGAACTCGGAAGGATTTTACTCCACCCACTCTGTAAAAGAACGATAGACAATCGCTGAAATAACGCGGGACTAGGTGGCCAAATGGTCATAAATCACCGAAAAAAATTACAGATTCTGTTGGAATTTCGTGAGCTAAATTTTGTGCTAAATGCGAAAAAAAATTGATATTTCAATGAACAAAAAACCCAAAGTTGTGTGTAAGAAGTGAAAACGCATGCTTCTCGTTCATCTTTTGTGTCCCTTGGATTCTATATAATATATTATTATGTTCCATGGATCAATCATTATGAAATGCATCTATTATATACATGTACCAATGAACGGTGAATATAGGAAATTTATGATCGGAGCCACGGATGCGTCTAAAATAATGAATCTGAGACATTCAACTCGCTAGATTATTTGTGCCATTTTCAATAGGATTTTTTGTGAAATATTAACCTTTAACGCTACTAGTTTCCTATATTGTTCATGTTAAATTGTTTGATTTGTCATTGCCTTTTAAGTGCTGTTTACTTATTTGCCTCGCCCTTTGTTCTCATTTTAACGTTACCTGTACCTGTCCAATAAGTTGAATCTTATCGGACACCTACAGGTAACTTATTAGACGGGGTGCAGGACAATAAAAAAATTTATTGAACCAGGTTTAACAAAAGATGACGTCACAAAAATATTTTAACATAGAATAACACATGGATTTCACTAATTTAAATCTTTTTAAGTGAAGTTAAATTTCAAACTTAGTATACATGTAGAAGTGTTTATAGAAATGAAAGATATAATTTTAATTCTCCTTTTGCATTTTCACGTGCGCATGATATTAAAGGGCGATAGTTAATGACTGCATGTTTTTCAAATTATTTTATTATAACCTGGTTTCAGTCAGTCTATCCTTGATAATCTACGAAGCGGACTATAAAAAAGCGAAAACTGACCCAAACCAAGTTATACTCGAATAGTTTGGCCAAGAATTGGATTCATTCCTTATACTTTAATTTAAAAAAAAAATAACAACTGTGGATGTAAAATTTTGTTCCTTTTTATGAGTTCAAATTTGCCTCTCAATAATACATCTCTAGTAACGGAAGTGATGGGAAGCGAGGGGAGGTAATAACTGATTCATAGACCTAGCAGCCATTTTGTTTGTTTACATGAGATAGGATCGAGCTACTGTTTGAAGTTAAAGGTACATTTATTAAATCTGAAATTTTCCATGAAATCTCGAGCACTGGAAATGAGGGGATTTCATGGATACAAATTATTCTGCTTGTTGTCAAGGGGGTGTATACATAATAATTTGCGTTCCATTTCGGAAATCAACAAATGAGAGGCTAGAATACAAACAGAAGTAAATTACTTACATGAAATTATAATTATATATTGTTGTGTTTTTAATGAATGTTTCTAAGTATCCCTTCCATTTACAGCGTCATTCATTGTGCAACATTTATAATGTTTCTCCGAGGATCACTTAAATGACGCGACTTTGAATCAGTATAGAAAAAACTGCTTATAATATGTTATAAACAAACATACAGAGGCTAAGACAAATAAACTTCTGATATTTCAATTATGGTTTAGAAACATTTTTCGGTATGTCATTGATATGGTAAAGACCCTCGACAATGAAAGTAAGGCCTATTTATAAATTTGTTGAACCTTTAGTACATACATTGTATGCAAATAAAATATCAGCTAAATTTGACCATGCTTCAATACAATGCTTGAGAAATATGCTTTGTGGTTAGAAAAATGTATATCTAAAAATATTTTTTACTCAGAAAATGTTTATGTGGAAAGGTTATACTTTGTACAAATATATATTTTATTTAAATAATGTACAAAAATACAAGACCTCACAATAAAGAGAAAAAAAATCATATTTCTGAAACTTTAAACAATGTAAGAAAATACATAGAAATTTCTTTGAAAACATAAAAAATGTTAATCATGACATGGACAGAAGAGCATCAACTAGAATATTTCTTTTTAATCATGAAAGTCTTGTCTGCATCATGGAATTAGGAATTTTTGTTAGAACAAAAATCTTCTGTTTGCTAACCAATATGTACAAATAAAAATATACACAAAACTGAAAATCCCACAGGCCTGATCGGGCTTTTTTTACCTACATTCAGCTAGACTGACTGAATTTTCTTTAAATTGTCTTCCATGCTTTTTCTTTCTGTATTTTTATCTTTATCGTTTACATTTTCTTTGATTCAAGCAATCTCGATGTTTTCTTGCTTATTATTATTTTTTTTATTTTCTACGATGTTTTCGGTTTCTGCATTTATTTCCTGTTCAATTATATTTATAGATGCATTATAATTCTGTTTCGTCTTCATTTGTATTTTCTCCCTCGTGAGAAATCGCGATGTTTTCTTGTTCATCAATATCTTCTCCCATGTAAGTCATCTCAATGTTTACTTGTCCATTCACATTTTCTTCATTGTTACGAGTTTCTTCATTATTTTCTTCCGTGCCCTCATTTTCATTCATCAAAGAAGATGAACATCCACAATTTATGTCGTTGCAACATCCCCAGAAACATCCACAGTAAAACTCACTTAAAATCTTGCAACATAATTTACAACCCGATTTTGGGACTTCTGCTTCATTATAATTAAAAATCAATTTAGTTGTCCTAATCTTCTTTTCATTCAAATCATCCTCAGATATGATACCATTGCAATCAAGATTATGTACGCTTGTTAACTGTCTAATTAGTTCGTCTAAATCGTAGTGCATTTTTTCAACTTTGTCAGCATTGCTCTCGAAAAATAAAACCTCAATTACACCAGGTGTGAGTAGAATGAAAACATAAGTCAAAAATATATTTAAATCAAACGACTTTTCCCCCTCAAGAAAGTGAACATCAATGAGAGTAAGGTACATGATTACGAGTAAAAATGAAGTCATTAATACTTTTGCTAAAAGGAAAAATATTTCCATTTTTACGGGACAACAACGCCTAACGATATAATCATAATCCTCAATAAGTATATCATTTGTACCTTTCAACTGAATGATTTTTTGCAGCAATAATCGATACAGTTGAAAAAATTGTAGAAAAAATTTGCTCATATACGTAAAAATTGCTGTAACAATAAGAAATATGTAAAGCTGTGTTGAGTACAAATGTGGAATAGCTACTAAAATGAAATAAATAAAGAATTGCACAATGCAACTTACTCCCATAAATATTGCATTACAATATGCTGATAAACCTATAGTAACTAAAGAAAGAAAAATGCATATAATACATAAAAAAGAAAAACATCGACGGTCTACAATACCTTTAAACTTACATGTACATGTACATGTAGTTATACTTCTCAGAGCTAAAGTAGATATTTTTAAATATAAAAAGAATAATTGATTTAAAATTGGAAAAAGAGAAAATATACATATACAAAGTATGTTAAGCAAAAATATAATAGGAGAAAAAATTACCTTTCCTATATACTTTACACATGCTGTACATATAATGTTTACTGAATTTTGTTCAGCTTTTAAAGGAATCAAATAAACTTGTCCCCAAAATTTTAATGAAAACAATAAAAACAATCGATTAACCACTTTTCGTGAAATAGATTCCTGTATATCTATGTGTTTTAAGAAATGCCGTATAGGAATAAATTTGCAGAAAAAATAATCGAATAAAAGTAATTGATCACTGGACTCTTTTGATAGAACTAAAATGCTATTGTTCAATGCAGACAGGGCAAAAAAACTGAGAATGGTTGTGATTACAATCAAAGCTATGCTCAGTTCAGAAACCCCATGTGTAAAATATATCTCCTGGAAAAGATGGACATTTGGATGAAAGCAAACCTCGCAGTGATTTGTCAAGATAACCTTAACTATGAAAGCTGTTACCGTCACAATATATATCAGGATGGAAATACGAGTGGCACTGGTGGAATTAGAGAAATTCTTTTGAAATTCAGATAAATTTTCAAATTTTAGGTCCCCAGTTTGAAACATGATTCGAAGAAAGAAGCGACGAGGTGTGTAAGGGTAGTCGGCTTTAGTGTATACCACAAGTTCTCGCCTAACCTTTCTTTCATGCATAGATCTTGACAATATCATAGGATAGTAAGAAATGATAATCAATATGATTGCGATAGTAATATATATAATTGGAGATTTTTTTACCGTAAAAGGAGATGACATGTCAAGACCATTAAAACATTTAAATTCATAACCAACAGACACATAAGCAATGAAAAACAAAAATTCCTTCCATTCCTGGTTATCGAAATAACGATAGCAAAAATACCCACTTGTACTGTTATGGATTTTAAATAAATGGTGGTAAATTTGAATCGATAGTGTGTCGTTATTACACACTGATATATTGTGTATACTAACATTTAGATTTAAAGTATGAGAATTTTGTTTCATCAAACCTAGGGTAAATACGTCAATGTCCACAGGGTATGACAGATAGTGTCTATATTCATGTGTTATCCATATCCAATCAGTGATTTTATTCCATGTCTTCATATTAAGAGTCAAGTTTTCAAATGATGGAGAACTGATATTCACATAAATAAACTGCATTCCTTTCCGCAGAGATGAGAGATGTTTGAAGTTTTGCTTATGTTTTCCAAATTCATCATCTGATATAATACATGAGTTTACTCCTATGTTTTCTGTTTTCCATACAAATATTATCAGTGGAAGGAGAATCCAGAAAACCTCAGGTCTATTCATTTCCGGTTTCGAAACCTACTTATGAAACAAATTCAAAATTATAAAGGAAATATGGGCATTCATACAATAACCTAGAAAATCAAATTTTATCAACTTATGAAATATATGGAGATAACAAACAGTAAACATGTAGTTTTCAAGCTCAAGAGTCCATAAAAGAATACAAAATGGGAGCAGAGCAAAAAATTCGAAAGAATGGGCAATAAAACTTGATTGATTGATTGACTGTATATGGTTTAACGTCCCTCTCAAGAATTTTTAACTCATATGAATTATGGAGACGCCACCACTTTCCTCTGGAGAACTTGAAATTTTGTTCTACATTCGGCACCCAGGGCCATCGAGAGACCTTTTTCGTGCCAAGCGCATTTAAATGTTTTTAAACATGATGATGGCATTTATTTCAAGCCTATGCCTCTCGATACAAATTTCAAAACTATTCTCGTATAAATTAAATCAAACTAATGTTCAGAATATAGGAATGTTTTTTGAAATTAAAATTCTTACTTACGCTAGGTTTTTATGTCCTTGATATGTCCTTGAGATCACTTAAAAACTGTAATTCAACAAGAATAAAAAATTATGTTAACTTCCATCAATTGTTAAGTTAATTTTAAAAGATAGTCTTCAAATGTTTCATACACTTTAGCGCAGCGGACACCATAAATAAAAATCCATTACATATTTTTAATAACCTTGAAAAATAATACACGCCCTGTCTCGGTTTACACATACTGCGGTATGGTGCATAATGACAGCGTACTATTTAGCACTTCCATTGAAAAGATTTTGAAATGATATTTATAATCCAAAGATTTTCTTGAGATTTAAGTTTGCATTAAAATTGTTTAATAACTAGTTCTGTTTGCATTTGTAACAGAGCAGAAATAGCAAAACATACACTCAAAATGTCACTTTTTCCATTTGTGGTTGTTACAATAGGAAGCTTTTACATGTAGTTATGCCATTGTTTTTGTTTATCTTATTTTCTTCTGATGATTGAATTTCTTAAAACAAAAAAATCAGTAAGAGGTCATTAATGTTTGGAAGTGTGAAATATGAAGGACTTTATCTAACTAAATGAAATAGCTAAAGTTGATAGACTTGAGAAAAATATTTTGCATAATTAATTACCTTTCGGAGCAGGAAAAACTATAAAACTAGAAAAAATTTACAGTTAATTTAAAAAAAAATCTAAAAATGTCTCTGGTGATGTACTTATAGGTAGATGCATATTGTTGACATAATTTTTGAAATGAACATGTAACCATGCTCTAGCTGTTGAATTTTTGATTAGAATAACATGTAAATAACACACTTGAAATAAACTCCCTTCTGTCCATACAAATGAAAAAAGACATATTATTCTTATATATCATTTATTTTAATTTTGTTGATTTATACTCTGTTCGTTGAACTATATTAATGATATAAAAAAATGATTCTTTATATTTACATTTAGTGTTATTTACTTTACGAAATCCATTAGGAATCTACGACGTTCAAATGTCTATAACACACGCGAAACCTTGTCACCGCGCGTTAGAATACAAAGTAGGAACTTTATGCATTTTCAATACTCTAGGACAACCAAATTGTACATGTTTTGACAAAATTTAATAGAATAAAAATAACCCCGTTAAATTGATGTAAAAATACAAAAAATGTGCGTTTAAAATTAATTTGTCACTTTTTTTCACGCAATGTTTGTTGCGTTATTCAACTTTGTGACATCACAAATCTTACGTCTATAAGACACACCAGTTTTGAAGGGCGCAAAATTCACTCAAAAGATTACCGAAATAAACAATAATGAAAAGGAAAAATTATAGAATGTAAATATAAACATTTAATTAATATTTTAGGATGTCTTGGTCTTAACGCCCGACAGTACATACCGATTGTGCATTTGATGCGAATATTTTCAGAACACAGGTGGTAAATTGATCCGATTCAGGCAAAAATTGATTTTTTTTTCACTCACTGAAAACAGTATTTATCAACTGGAATTCGTGTTAATCCCAACTAAACTTGAATATTCAATACTCACCTCTAGTTTGCAATAATTACATTCTATCCATCCAAATTTGGACTTCGATATGTGCGTTGGCAAACATTTGAAGTAAGTTACCTTTTCTGTGCGAAACTGAAACTGATCGATCAGCAGGTGACGTAATATATATTTGGGAAATTGATTACATTAGGGTTTTTTTCAGTTGTAATGATTTTCTGCACTTATCTTTTCTGTAATTTTTTATGAACATGCAACAGATGTTGGGATCGATAATTGCAGTAATGTTTAGCTCTAAATTCGTTCTAAAATAACACTACATTGGAAGATCGATTTTGGGTTTTATTTCAAGTTATGAACTTTACAGGTCTGGACGATTTCCAACTAAGGAATTGATGAGCAATAACCGTGATATGCAATAAATACACAAAATAAACAAGGTGCTAGTTCTTCTGACCAATCAGATAACAGCATTTATACAAACCCATGAGAAAATAAATAAATCATGTGGTTTTATAGTTTTTTGCTCAAAAGATTTTTTTGGAACAATTTTTAAAAAAAAACTTAATTCAAATTTAGGAAAAATATGATATTTATGACAATTCTATCGTGAACAAACAAACTTGAAAGCTTAGAAAACGTTTTATGTGGGATTAAAAATCTGTTACTAGGAGGTAGCTATCCCAGTAGTTAAATTTTGTTAAAAATGTTATGTAAATACGGAAAACTTCCAGTTTTTAGAGCTTTACATGAAAATCTTATCGAATTGATAATTATCTCAACAGCCTGTCTCTGAGAAAAGCATGCAAAATAGTCCGAAAGCAAGTTTCTCCGATCGCCTTCAAGTTTTGTGTACAAATTCTAGTATGCTTGAAATGAAATCAGACAAATTTTTACTGAGCTAATCAAACCCATATATGTTTTATGGCCTCTTACTAAACATAGCTCTTATGCAACAAAATTTGAGGTAATTCTTTAACGTTTTAGTCATATTTTGAGGAGAAAAAAATTGCAACTTTAAAAATTATTCAAATATTCTTTTTTGTAGTAAAAGAACAAAGATTAGTTCTTCTTGAAGGCATAGTCAGAATGACTGACATTCATTTTGTTTTAGTGCAAATAGGTCATGAAATTGGCTCTGTTCCAAAATTTGGAAAAATTTACAATTTTTGATGGAATTGAAACTATTCTAGTAAAAAAGGGGGATGTTTTAATCCAAAAAATTTTATTGCTTATTGTTATGGATGCTTATGTTAACAAAATGTGAAAAAATTACCACTGGCCTATGTACTTTAGAAAATATTGAAAGTCAAAGTTTGTGAAATTTTCACATCAAAAATTTCAATGATACAATAAGAGCTACTCATAAAATAGCTCAAAACATGTCTAAAAATTTTAAAAAGTTAATCTCTGGAGATCTTCCTATCTGTATTACAGAATTAAAACAAACATAGCTCTAAATTTAATACTTAATTACTTAAAATGAAAAAAAAAAACATGAAAAAAGAGGCGGGAGGGGGGCTATGAATTCCTTATAAACCACTAAATGGATAAAGCATAAACCTTTTTTCACATTTAATGAATGTATACATACTTGTTCAATATTTACACAAGTGAAGACATTATTCATCATATTAGTCATTTGATTAACATATTTGTTTGACCGTTATTATAGTTGGCAGCTACATGTAACTGTAAAGCTTCACGTTACGTCACGATCTAGTTGACAGCTGCGCTCAAGGTAAATTGTACACGCCTCCTAACCGCAAGCTTTTCTTCTTATCCCTGATTGGTTGCTGGTGAAACAGACTATTTCTGTGTCAATGTTGATAATTTGAGTTGACCACTTTCGTGAGATGCATCTGACGAAAAGATCGTGACGTAACGTAAAACTTTACATTTAACTGCAAACTATAATAAGTAGAAACAATTTCTGCACATTTTCAACATCATTGTTACAAACATTGAGATATTTCAAACAAGTTTTTTTTTACTGGGGAAAGGTGAAATGACTTCAATATTTTTTTTTTGATGAATGTGACACAATACCTCCTCCTTTTTGTGAGCTACTAAGCCATTTATTTCGTTTATGAAATTTAATCATTTTTTTTTTTATTCAGTACTTTTTTCTTCTGCCATAAAACACAATCTGGACAATTTACTTTCGTCTCACATTCTTCACATATCATAGACAAGTAATTGTTCACTTTTTGGGAGAATCATCTTCTGGATTTTAAAGCCAAACCAAATCATTTTTACTCTTTCTGAACTCCACCAATACCTCTTCCTGATAGGACACTATGCAGTTTGTATCAGTAAATTGTGAAACTCTCTAATGCTTTGAACATTTGAGTAGCATACAAATTTGCTGTGATGTTCTTACGTGATCTTGAATTTGTATAATAAGTGAGATTTCCAACTGACAAATATTTTTCAAATTTCAAGACTGAAAATTTTGTTTGGCCTGATGAATATTAACAGGAGTAATACATGTATTGATGATTACTAATCTCGTTGCTTGCTGTAGTGTTTAAAGAACTTTCACAACTGGTATCATCTTTCATCTTTCACTTGATCAATCAGATCATGGTTTCATTGAAAAGACACTTCAGTTCTGCTCCATTGTTCCTGCTTTCTCGGAAAATACTGCATTACCTATCAAACAAAATGCACAATGAAATGAAAAGAAATGTGTCCTCCTTCTTTGAGTATATACTGTATCAGTAAAATATGATTACAGCAAGAATAATTATACCCGCACTTTCTAAAGAAAGTTCGGGTATATTGTTGTTACTCATGTCCGTCCGTCCGTCTGTCACACTTTTCTTCCCTGAACTCCTCCTACATTTTACACAGTAGCTTAATCATATTTTGGGAGATGGTTGGTGGGGTCATGTAGATGTGCAGTAAGGTTTTGGAATTTTGATTTTGCCCCTGGGGGTCAAATGGGGGACGAGAAATGACGTTTTTTATGCAAAAAGCCCCTTCTTCCCTGAACTCCTCTTACATTTTACTCAGCAGCCTAATCAGCATTTGGGAGATGGTTGGTGGGGTCTTATAGATGTGTAGTAAGGTTTCGGAATTTAGATTTTGCCCCGGGGGTCAAATGGGGGTAGAAAAATGATGTTTTTTTATGCTAAAAGCCGCGTCTTCCCTGAACTCCTTCTACATTTTAATCAGCAGCCTAATCATCTCTTGGGAGATGGTTGGTGGTGTCATGTAGATGTACAGTAATGTTTCGGAATTTAGATTTTGCCCCGGGGGGTCAAATGGGGGACGAAAAATGACGTTTTTTATCCAAAAGCCCAATCTTCCCTGAACTCCTATAACATTTTAATCAGCAGCCTAATCATCTTTTAAGAGATGGTTGGTGGTGTCATGTAGATGTGTAGTAAGGTTTCGGAATTTTGATTTTGCCCCGGGGGTCAAATGGAGGTCGAAAAATGACGTTTTTTATGCAAAAAGCCCCGTCTTCCCTAAACTCCTATTTCATTTTACACAGTGGCCTAATCCTCTTTTGAGAGAGTTCACTCTAACTTTTGAAATTTTGGTAAAACATCGAGGTTAAGGGGTAAATCATAGCATGTTGGGAAACATCTTGTTATGGGTAATGTACATTTGAAAGTCGTATCTCTTCTCAATGAAAAGGAAATACAAAATTATTGAAAAGTAAGTTAAACTTCAAGGTCAAGGTCACAGAGTCAAAAAGTCATGATACATTTGGAAAGGTCTTTTCACAGGTAATATGAATGCCCTTTCATTTCTCTTTCAAAATGATCAATTTAAAACAATTAATTTGCTTATGACAGTGGGTCAAACTTCAAGGTCATGGGTAATAAAAATCATAGTGTATTTAGAATGGTATTGTCCCAGTTAAATACTAATACACATGTTTAAGATAAAAGTCCTGTCTCTTCTCATTCAAAAAATATGACCATGATGACCAAGATTAAATTTATTGTGACAGATGGACAGACTGACAAACAAATGAGATTTAATGTCCCCTACCTTAAGCGAAATTGGGGGACAATAAATGTCCTTGCTGTTCTTGAGAGGATTTATGTTGCATATTTACATGTAAAATTGGTTGAAATTGGTCTAGTGGTTCTTAAGAAATTAAGAATGTGAAAAGTTTGCAGACAAACAGATGGACGACAGAAAACAGTACATTTCAGAAAACAGTATGCTTGTAAATAGTTAATCAAGATGCTTTGGGTAGCAAAATAAAGCTAAACTGGTATATCTAATTCATCCACAGAGCTTAGTATATTTTAATATGCACAACCTTTTCAACTCTTATAATAATTATTTTTAAAATATTTACGAGGGTTGTCTGTAAAGTTCGTGGACAACATTGATAATTAAGGAATAACATTTACAAAATATTTGAAACTATTATTTTCATTAAATTTATGTTTCATTTTATAAATATGCAAGTTTTCAAGAAAGACAAAGCACAAATAGTTATAATTTTATCAGATACAAAAAAGACACACTCTCATACCCGGAGCACTAAAACGAAAATTCTTGACGTTACCGACGTCAAAAGCTAAATACGAGCAGTAGTAACTTTTCTCAACATAGTCAGCGTTTAATTCAATACATTTCTTATGTCGTTTCAACCAGTCATAAAAATATGCACAAAATGTTCAGGTTTCATTCTTAAACTAATATTTAACAATGCCTGTCTCATATCCTGCAATCATCCAACCACTGTCCGTGTAAAGACGATTTCATTTACGGAAATACGGCGTGATCACGTTACGAAATTCATATTGTACAGCACTGCAATCTAGGAATAATGGTTTTCCTTCACGCATGCCATCCTGTAAAATGTTCATTCCGTCCGAAAATATTATATGCCACTTAAATACTAGTGAACGACTTCTTTTACTATGTTTTCCCGATGGTTTACAGAATGTATTGGTCTCTGTAGGTGTCTTTCCGGTGTCAACGCAGAATTTTATCAATGTTCACTGCTCCACCTCCTCCGAAAACGTCTCTTTTTTGAACGATTCCGATCCTGTCTTAACAAGTTCTAACGCTGATTGCTCAGCCATTTTGAAACTTTGAACGTTCAAATTTTG